TTGTAATTTCTATTTTTATTGTTTGTTTTCTTATTTGACAGGCAATTGCTGAACACTATAAATAAAGTTGTTAGTCTAAGGTTTTTGTAAGCTTTTAATATTCAGTTTTCTATCATCTTGCTGCCAGTCTCATATTTTCTCTCTAGAACTTGTGAGAATGTTTTGCAAGCTAGGCTAGAGTTCTCTTGGTGAGGTTAGAGATGAACTTCTGTTGAGCGATCCAATTTAGAGTTTTGATTCCTTATACTGTAAAGTTCAACATCTGAATGAATTAAATCTCATCTATTTTTCTATTACTTTTCAAAATATTGTGTGCCAATTTTTATATAAGTTCAGTCACGCTTTTATTATGTAATTCTGTCATGCATTGTTTTGTCATTCAAATTATTTTACAAATTGTCTTTTACTGCAATATTGTCAAATTGATATATTGTCGATTTTGGATAACTTGTAATAATAATATTTTCTGAGCCAACATAGAGATTTAATTTATTCGATTCTTTTATTTTTTGAATCAAAACTTGAATTGGTGAACGAAGCATTAGGAATTCTCGACACCTTACCGTTTTCTTCATACAGATTTTCTCCTTTTTATTTTATTTGCAACAAAAATCCTAAAAACTCTCATTTTTCTTTAATTCACTTTTCTCTAACGCTCTTATTATGTTAGTCATTCTTGTTATTTTGTTATCTTTTTGTGGATACGACCGCCCTTCTGTGTTATAATTGACCGCTTGTGAACATTACTTTTGGGCGTTAATCAATGGATCTTAAACTCGGGGTGTTCATTCCACATATGCCCCATTAAAAACTGGTTTGAGAATTACCAAGAGGTCAATGGGGGAAAGGTAATCATGGGCAATAATGCTATGTGCAGAATCACAGGAACCGGCAATGTGAAGTTGAAGTTAAGTGATGGCACTGTTAGGATTCTAACCAATGTGCGACATATTCCTGAGTTGAAACGGAACTTGATCTCACTTGGGGTGTTAGAATCTAAAGGATGTTCTTATAAGGCTGAAGATGGGATCTTGAAAGTCCTAAGAGGATCTTTGGTGATAATGAAGGGGTTGAGAGAGAATGGAATTTACTTACTACAAGGTTTAACAACTTGTGGTGAGTTAAATGCCATGGTTTCTGCAACGTCAGAGAGAACCAAATTGTGGCACCAGAGGCTTGGCCATGTTAGTGAACGTGGTCTACAGGAGCTGTACAACCAGGGACTCTTGGGAAAAGAAAAACTTGGAGGACTGGAATTCTGTGAACACTGCGTATTTGGGAAGAAGCAGAGGGTGAAGTTTGGGAAGGCCATCCACAACACACAAGAAGTTCTTCAGTACATACATACAGATCTCTGGGGACCAGCCACTGTCCCTTCTCATGCAGGAAATAGGTATTTCATCTCTTTCATTGATGACTTTAGTAGAAAAGTGTGGATCTAACTACTAAAGACTAAAGATGAGGCCTTTAAGACTTTCAAGCAGTGGAAAGTAATGGTGGAAAACCAGTGTAGTAATAAGATTAAAAATTTAAGGACTGATAATGGTCTTGAGTACTTAGCAGATGTTTTCACAGAGTTCTGCAAAGACAAGGGAATCAGAAGGCATAAGACTGTTAGGAAGACTCCACAACAGAATGGGTTGGCAGAAAGGATGAATAAAACACTGTTGGAGCGTGTTAGGTGCCTTTTGTCAAATGCAAAATTGCCATTGAAGTTTTGGGGAGAAGCTGTTCATATAGTGTGCTATTTGATTAATAGAGCACCATCTGCAGCAATTCAGTTTAAAACTCCTCAAGAGCTATGGTCTATTCAGCCTGCAGATTATAGAAACCTGAGAGTTTTTGGCTGCATAGCCTACTACCATGTTAATGAAGGGAAACTTGCACCGAGAGCTAAGAAGGGACTATTTATGGGGTATCCAGATGGTGTCAAAGGTTTTAGAATTTGGTGTCTGGAGTCCAGAAAATGCATAATCAGCAGAGATGTAACTTTTCATGAAGAGGGAACACTAAAGCCTCAAGAAAAGCTACAGTTTCAGGGTGACTTACAAGTTGAAACAGGGAGATTGGAGCTTGAGGTGGAGCCATTAGATGGTAGAACTGAAGAAACTGAAAGATTTGCTCGAGTAGATGAAGCAGATGATGATGTACAAGTTCAGGATGTGGAGCAGCAGCAGGTGCAGACCTACAGACTTGCTCGAGACCGAAACAGGAGAGAAGTTAAGCCTCCACAGAGGTATGGATATGCCGATCTGATTGCATATGCTCTCACTGTTGTAGAAGACTTTATTGATGAAGAACCAAAGTCCTTCAAAGAAGCAGTTAATGCCATTGATTCAGATAAATGGTTATGTGCTATGAATGAGGAATTAGAATCTTTGGAGAAAAACAACACTTGGGAGTTGGTACCAAGACCTGATAGAGCAAAGGTAGTGGGATGCAAGTGGGTGTTTAAGAGAAAGGAGGGGATACCTGGAGTAAAGCCTGCTAGATACAAAGCTAGGCTAGTTGCAAAGGGTTTCACACAAAGAGAGGGAGTTGATTTCAATGAAATTTTTTCTCCGGTTGTGAAACATACTTCCATTAGAGTTTTATTATCACTGGTAGCTCATTTTGATATGGAACTTGAACAAATAGATGTTAAGACAGCATTTTTACATGGAGATTTGGAGGAGAAAATTTTGATGCAGCAGCCAATTGGTTATGAAGTCCAAGGAAAAAAAGATTGGATGTGTCTCTTAAAGAAGTCTCTGTATGGCTTGAAACAATCTCCTAGGCAGTGGTATAGGAGGTTTGATAGCTTCATGCTCAAAAACAACTTTCAAAGGAGTAAGTTTGATAGTTGTGTGTATTTCAGGAAGACTGAGTATGGTGATTATGTGTATTTACTGCTGTACGTTGACGATATGTTGATTGCCTCAAGGGATAAGGCTGAAGTTAATATTGTCAAGAAGCAATTGAAATCTGAGTTTGAAATGAAGGATTTGGGGGCAGCTCAAAAGATACTAGGCATGGAGATAACCAGGAAAAGAAAAGCAGGAGTCCTTTAACTCTCTCAAGCTGGTTATATGCAGAAAGTACTGCCAAAGTTCAACATTGCTGCAGCAAAACTAGTGAGTTTGCCAATAGCACCTCATTTCAAACTTTCGTCAGAGCAGTCACCAAAATCAGAGCAAGAAGAAGCGCAAATGAGGAAAATTCCCTATGCAAGTGCCATTGGAAGCATATGTATGCCATGGTTTGCACAAGACCTGACATAGCACATGCTGTGAGCCTAATAAGCAGATTTATGGGAAAACCGGGAGAAGAACATTGGAGAGCTGCTAAGTGGGTGTTGAGATATTTAGCAGGCACCTCTAAAGTTGGTCTGGTGTATGGCAAGGCAGTGTCCGGTGAAGATTGTGCTAAAAGATATGTGGATTCTGATTATGCAGGGGACTTGGATAAAATGAGATCTCTCACTGGTTATGTGTTTAGTCTGTTTGGGAACACAATAAGTTGGAAAGCAACTTTGCAGCATATAGTTGCTCTTTCAACAACAGAAGCTGAATATATTGCTGTAACATAAGCAATAAAGGAAGCTTTGTGGATCAGAGGATTGATAAGTGAGCTAGGTATTGAACAGAAAACAATTGATGTGTTCTGTGATAGCCAGAGTGCTATTCACCTGTGTAAGAATCAAGTGTTTCATGAAAGAACGAAACATATTGATGTGAGGTTGCATTTTATCAAAGATATCATTGAGAATGGAGTGGTTAGGGTGATGAAGATTCACACTTCTAAAAATCCTGCATATATGTTAACAAAGCATGTTCCTGTTGCTAAGTTCAACGTGTGTTTGGATTTATTGCAAGTTAAGGAGAATAGGAAAGGAAATGGAAAAGAAGAACTCTGCTGATGTAATGAACCAAGTGCCAAGGTGGAGTTTGTTGATCCAGGTGTCACTTGTTCATTGGTTACAAGAATTAGTACACGGCAAGTTGGCTCCGGTTTGTTAGGATGTTAATAAGCTGTTAGAGGGTAGTATGGTAATTGAGCATTGTAATTACATACTTTGATTGAACTAGATAAAAAGGCTTGATATATGTTTTAGTCGGTGGTCTAGTTTAGTGGGCGGTGCTGTGTGTAGATACGAAAGGCAATTAGAAGTTAGAGAGAAAAGGGGATTAGCGCTTGGTGTTCTTTTCGGTTCTTGGTGAGGGAGAAACTGAATGTGAGATGAGCGTTTGTAATCTTGAATTTCTAACGGTGATTGGAATAAGAGTTCTTGAGGTTTTCCAGATAAAGTAAGACTTTATTTGGAAAACCTTACTTTATCTGGAAAAACCTCAAGAACTCTTATTCCAATCACCGTTAGAAATTCAGGATTACAAACACTCATCTCACATTCGGTTTCTCCCTCACCAAGAACCGAAAAGAACACCCAGCGCTAATCCCCTTTTCTCTCTAACTTCTAATTGCCTTTCGTATCTACACACAGCACCGCCCACTAAACTAGACCACCGACTAAAACATATATCAAGCCTTTTTATCTAGTTCAATCAAAGTATGTAATTACAATGCTCAATTACCATACTACCCTCTAACAGCTTATTAACATCCTAACAAACCAGAGCCAACTTGTTGTGTACTATTCTTGTAACCAATGAACAAGTGACACCTGGATCAACAAACTCCACCTTGGCACTTGGTTCATTACATCAGCAGAGTTCTTCTTTTCCATTTCCTTCCCTATTCTCCTTAACTTGCAATAAATCCAAACACACGTTGAACTTAGCAACAGAAACAGGCTTTGTTAACATATCTGCAGGATTTTCATAAGTGTGAATCTTCATCACCCTAACCACTCCATTCTCAATGATATCTCTGATAAAATGCAACCTCACATCAATATGTTTCGTTCTTTCATGAAACACTTGATTCTTACACAGGTGAATAGCACTCTGGCTATCACAGAACACATCAATAAGAAAAAAAAAATTTGAAAGACAATCACAGACCTTTATCCAAAGTCCTTCTAAGTGAATCTGAGTACTCATCTGGTATTTTTACATGATGACCTGCCCTACGGCTCTGCAAACAAAAAGCATATAAATTATGATCTCAGAATAGCCCAATAAAAAGAAAAGAGCATAAATTTTGAAAAGAAGTAATTACTATTGTTAAAACTTCAGACGAGGTTGATCCAATTATTCTCAAGTTTTCCGATCATTTGACCGATAAAAGTTCAATCTTTTCCATTCATAAACGCAATGAATGACTATAATTTTAAGAAGAAACATGTACCATCATTTAAAACTCTACACTCGCTCTATCGGATCCAACTACATTCTCAAGCTTTCAATCACTTACCAGCAGCACAAGTTCAATCAGATTCCAAAAAAAGTATTCAACTAACTATAAAACAATAATAAAAATAATAAGAAAAAAGAAAAAGAAAAAGAAAAAACAAATAATCTCACACCTCTCCCCCAGGACCTTTAACAAAAGTTTCCTCTTCAGTTATGAAATCATCGTAGATAACTTTTCCACATACGTCACAGCATCTGTAATTAAAAATAAATAAATAAATAAATTCAACAAGAAGAAAGCTTATAAAATCTGTGATATAAACTAAACTGTGTAAAACAGGTTACTCACATGTAGTGTTGGGAGTCTCGTTGGGTAGGACGTCTTTGTTTACAATGACCACACCACAACAGCGACATTTTTACACTCTCAACTGAATTCACTCAATAATCTGTTTGAAAAAAAAAAAAAAAGGAGAAGAAGAAGAAGCAAGAAGCAAGAATTCATGAATATTTTGTCCCCAATTACAACAAAATTCATAAATATCTACAAATTCTTATTAGAACGTTGATTAAGAAAATATGAAACAAGGTAGAGCTGCATATTAACGAATTTTACCGACTGAAGATCCTCCACTGCAATTACAGTAAATACGATTATATATATAAACATATATATAAAAATTTATAAATATAAATAAATATATATCTATATATGTATTGATTTCCGTGAGAAAGTGATTGTAGGGCATACCGTAAAGGAGAAAACCGTCGGCGGGGTTGGGCGGGAAGCTCCCGCTGTTCGGTTTCCTTCTGCCACTGCGTCTCTTCTGCTCCTTTTTCTCCACTCTCCTTCCCCACAAATCTTTTCCTTTCTACCATCGTTTACCTGGCATTGGTGCGTACAAATTTGGGCCCTAACTAGAAAGCCTTCACTCGTTAAGCCCAAAACGCGGCCCAGTACCGCAAGAGAGAGAACGAGAGAGAGAGAGAAAGAGCGTGTGAGAGAACACGAAAGGGGGCAAGAGAGAGAGAGAGAGAGAGAGAGAACGACGAAAATGGGAGAGAGATAGACTGCGTGAAAGTGGGGAGGAGAGAGAGAACGTGTTTGGGAGAATTTGGGAATAAGTTTTCAAATTTTGGAAATTTTGTTCTTTTATTTAATTAATTTAAATTTAAAATTTGAGTTTTATTATAATAAAAGGTTTCGTTTATTTCACCGATTCGAGTTTAGAATTCGAGTATTGTTACAATAAAAAACTCTCAGAAACAGTCACATTTAATTTTTTTGCTATAATAAAAAACTCACATAAAGTCACATCTTAACTCTAATTAAAAACTCGAATCAGCGAACTAAACGAAGCTCTCAGAAATAATTACATTTAACATTTTTATTACAGTAAAAAGTTCTCACATAAAAAATCACATCTCAATTCAAATTAAAAATTTAAATCAACGAACTAAACAGATCCTTAATGTTAATTGTTATTTTAATTAAAAATAAGAACAAAATAGGAAAAGGAAATTTAAAGTTTTTAAAGAATAATATTTACTAACTAATTAAAACAATTATGTTATTTACTGTTTTAAATTTGAAAAACCTGCTATATGCTGTAATTTCTCTTCATCTGCTCGTAATACGTGTGGCTTAATTTTTTTTTATTTTTAAAATACCAATTTCTACAAAACGCAAACTTTCACGATCAAAACCAACTTCTGATGATTTGAAAGTTATAACTAGCCACTCAATCTTGTTGGAGATATTTGCGATGTGTCGCAGATTGAGATAGCAGTGGTGATTCGAAAAGAAGCAACTTCTGCAATTTCTTTTTTGTTGTTTTTTTTTTTTTTTTTTGCCCGCTCAAAGTATGCTTCACACCCCGTCAACAATTTCAACAAAAACCGGTGTCTAAACAATACAAAAACTAATTCCAACAAACTGAAACTAATTTCATTCATAATCAACTAATTTCCGATACAAAAATCCAATATCAAAGTATTTTATCAAAAATTGATCCTAAAAAAAAAAAAATTTGGCACGTATTGACGTCAGGAGTCGAGAAAAAATTTTGTGAATAAACCTTTCAAGAAAGTTTGAAGAACGTTCCAAACCACATAAAAAAAGAAAAACATATAGACCGTGTTTAAAATTGATCCCGTTATTATTTTTCACATTTTTAAAAAAAAATATGAAAATATTTTTAAAATGACATTTGACATAATAAAGATAAAAACAGAAATGAAAAACGATTTTTTAGAACATATAGACCGTGTTTAAAATTGATCCCGTTATTATTTTTCACATTTTAAAAAAAAAATATGAAAATATTTTTAAAATGACATTTGACATAATAAAGATAAAAACAGAAATGAAAAACGATTTTTTAATTTATTCGTTAATTTTTTTTTTTTCGTTTTATATTCAGTAGGAGTGGAGCTAAGCAAAAATTCAATCAACAAAAGTCGACCATCCAAAAGTTAGGCTGACTGACCTATTCCATGATTTAAAAAAAATGACAAAGTTCTTTAACGAAATGACATCTATAAACTAGAGGCTCAAACGAAAGAACAAGCGATGTTACATTTCAATAAAGACATCAGCTGCTACTGCATCACATATGGTGCTCAAAACTTGGGAGGAAGGGGGTAGCTGGCCCAATGAAAAATCATTGCATGGTGGGCTTGCTGAGGGAGAGTTGTTCACGTTTGGTGTGACAGCCATCAATTCTTTGTGACAAAAAAGAAATCAAGATAAGATAAGTTGTATAATCTCATATTATTTAGAAATAGATGTAGGTAATAGATTATAAGAAATGACATCACCTCTCAATAATATAATACTTATTGGAGTGAAGTCTAAAGAGCAAAACCACGTGAGTTAAGGTCTAAAATAGATAATGTCATACTAAGTGGACGTACAGGTTGCATCATAATCTATGCGCAACCGTAAGTGTTGTAATCTTTATAGATGAACGGACATGATCATACCAAGTAAATGTGTGGATTGCTGTACACATGGCATCAGAGTTTATACACAACCGTAAGTGTTGCAATCCCTGAAATGGGATGGCCCGTTAGGATAAAGATCGCACTAGGGAGAGAACACAATTGGGGGCAGGCCTTTCAAGGGGAAGGCAACTTGTATGAGGGTGGGCTTTGCTCGGTTGAGTGGGCTCGGCGGCGGTGGTCAGCGCCAAGTGTGTTGGATGGCAAATGCGTTAGTCAAGTGGGGGGTGGCGATGGAATAGGGAAGGAAAGTGGGGGGTGGGCCGCTGTTATGCTCTTAAGGTTTTTCTTAAAGTCTAAACTAAAACAAGGGCTGATATTAGGTATGTCAAGATCAATAGTTAAAATTAATTGGGATGTTTTTGTCCTTTTAATTTTAAATTTAATAGAGTTACATCAAAGGTGTTGACGTAATTTGATTTGATCAAAGGATGTGTCTATTATTTTGATAAAATTCAAGGATTCCAGTGTATATTGCCTAAAATATTATGATGATATACCTTTAACATAAGGGTTTTAGTAAATAATATTTTTTATATTGCATAATAGAAAATATTATACGATATATAAAAATGCATAGGTATGTTTATACCCTCAAAGTCTTTAAGTTCAGGAAGCCGAGTTGAACATAAGATAAGGTTTCAGTTCTAATAGAAGCCCCTACTCTTAATAAGTTGGAAAGTTGTAAAATATTAACTAAGCAAATGAATAAATTTTTTATTATTATCATTCTCACACTCCAACCAAACACATTATAAAAGAAATGGTTCGAGTTTAGTGGTCTTGAATTAGTGGCTCGCATTAAGTAGGTATTTTGGTCATTTATAACTATTTTAAGAAAATTTAGTGGTGAGAATTTTGACGTAATTTTTTTTTTGGTTAAAATAATGTCTTTATTATTTTGATAAAACACTTGGGTTGAAGTGTAAGAAAATTTTTATAAAAAAAAAATATTTTTGCTTAAATTTCACGGAGGAAGCTGAAAATTAACATATAAAAATGAAGCTCAATACTCTATACACATCGAGTAAGGGTCGAAATATGAGGGGGGGAAAGAGAGCATGAAATCGAATAACCCACACGTATAAAGAAAGATTATGGGTAACTTATCAGCGATAAAAGAGAGAGGAAAGTACTAATGTAATGATTAAACCGGAAGAAAATTGGTAAACTGAACCACTATTGTTATTACTTTTCTCGATTAACAAACGGACATAAAATCATGAAATCCTCAATTATGTTGCCCAAGAATAAGGGAACCGAGGAGAAGAGCGAGAAGGAAACCTATTTTTGTTGGGGTTCGACAACCTCCATTAAAGACGTGTCTGGCTTCATACAACTCAACAAGGACGAGAGATAAAACCCTTAATAGAAAAGAAAACTTAACAATTTTGTTCTCTTTCTTTTAGTTACATTTTTATTCTTAAATGATTATAACATGATTAGTTATTATTTTACAATAAAATCGACAATTTATGATCTTATTTTGATCAAGATCGCGGATATGTTTGACTTATATTTGCAAAGGAACTTAAATTATAAGACATTTAATTGTAATTTCTAAATATAGAAATTTTAATAAAGCTAAAAATAGAAAGTTAAATGTAAAACGCCAAAAAAATATGGAGACTTTTGTAATTAAACTTATTATATTTAGTATTAGCATGTTAACTTTTAATTTTTTTTAAAAATAGAGAATTTATTCTTAAGAGTTTGAGTCTCAATTTTTATTCTTTATTTTAAATAAATATTTTTTAAATATAATTATTTAATTAAAAAAATTATAAATTTAAAATAAATAATAAAAATTATGACTCATATATTTTTTAAAAATATTTATCAACATTACTCTTCATTTTTTGTTCATTTTTTTAAGAGAGTTTTTGGTTACTAGGACCTCGTTTACTTTGCGAATTCGAGTTTTCAATTCGAGCTGAGATGTGATATTTTTTGAGAGCTTTTTACTGTAGTAGAAAAAGTTAAAAGTAACATTTTCTGAGAGCTTTTTACTGTAGAAATCTAAAACTGAAAACTCAAATCGGTAAAACGAACGAGGCTTAGATTCATGTTATGATTTGAATCATGATTCATAATTTGTTATAATATTTTTTTTATAAAAAATATATATAAATTAAGAATAATTTTGAATTATAATTCTGAATCTCCAATCAAACGTTCACTAAATATAAAACTATTGCTTGCGTTATCCGTGCGAACCGTACCAAGAACCGCACAGATCATACCACTACTTTCGGGGCTGTTTGGCTTTGCTTTGCGTTGCTGCGCTGTTGTGGCTAAAAAGTCGTCTGTACCTTATTCTCTCCGATGGTGACACATGGAATAACAATCCCACAACCTTTTATTTTATTTTTTTTCTTTTGGCCCTCATCAATTATTTTATTACTTTTTAATCCCAAAAATTCTTCCACTCCCTATTTATCTCGTCGTCTTTTCTGACTTTGGGCCTCGGTGGTCCCCACACTGGGCCCTCATTCATCATCCACCTTCCTCTCGGTGGGCCCCACAAGACCAGAGACCAGACCCAAAAAGAGGAGAAGAAAGAAGACACTGACCAAAAATATTGGAGGGTACATGGAATCTACGGTCCTTCTTTGCTCCTCATTCTACGATACTTATACCAACAGACTTTGCAATCTTTTCTTCCAATATTACATATTATTATTATTAGTTTTTTTCCTTTTTCCTCTTTTTTTTCCCAATTTATTCATTTCTTTTCGCGTTTCCCTCGCTACAGAAGATCCCTGGCTCTATCTCTCATTCTTTTTTGTTTTCCCCTTCTTTATTCTTTGCTAATCGCTCAAATGGTGAAATACCCAAGTCCGAATTCATCACCATGATGAAAGCCGTTTAACATAACTTTGTGTGGGGGTAAGCTGATTAAT